ATAGCATCATTCTAAATTTCCTCTCAGTTATTTTTAGTATACATTCCACTCCCCTATTTATAAATAAGGTTTTGTGTTCTTTTTTCATTAAAAAAAAAACCTTTCACATCCTATGAGAAGGAAGTGCATTAAAGCAAATGTATCAACTCACTGGACAGGTAACACTCTTATCATTAAGTCATTCTTCTTCCCATTTTACAGAAGCCACAAAAGGGAAGGTGTTTTGGCCAAGGCTAGAACCACAGCAAAGCCAAGGCCACAGTGTGGGCTCCCCGTGCCTCTGGTCATTCACCCCCTGCTGCATCGACCTGCCGCCATCCTTAGCAGTCTGTATGTAAGCCACTTGCCCACACCCGACAGCTGGACACGTGGCCAGTCCCCTTGGGTTCACTTTAAAGAGGGAGAAATACCCAGACATGAGACAGCTCACTGATGCACAGCCAAGACACTGACCACTTTTAAGTGGCATTGCTTCAGTTTTAGATTTTTATGCAGCCAGTGGCATTAGCCATGAAGCTGAGCTGAGGGTGTCAGGGTGGCTGGAAACACCAGACTGGCCCATTTAGGGACCCAGTAGCACTGATCGTGCAGGGGAGAGACTTCTGGATGCGGGTGTGTTAAGTCATGCTTTCTCCCAAAGGAAGAATTAAGAAGGCCCTGAGGCTTCTTACCATTTCATAGTGGGGTGCGCCCCACAGGTACCACTCAATACTGGCTAGTGCCCAAAGCAGTCACAGCCTTACAGTCTATCCAGCTGGCCAAATGCCGCCAAACGTGGAGGCGTAAGAGAGAATCGCATCTCTGACATTGTGTGCTGTCATGATTCTACCATTATCAATGCTATCAGCCCCTTATATTTTCAAGGTATGTTTTCTCAAATAGCTCAAAGGTCTCTAAAAGAGAAGATATTCTTAGCCCTGTTGGTGAGATAAAATGCTGGAGGTACAGAAGAGAAAGATTTACTCTGGGTCACAACTGATTCGGTGTGACGTTCAACGCTCCATTCACTGAACCCTCCCCGACTCTTATCTCTTCTCCTACAGCCCCTCCCTAGAAGCATCAGAGGCTTTTCCCAGACAAGGAACGTCACCCGCCCGTGCATCTGATAAGCCTTCTGGCCTCCAAGAGGTCTCTCTCAAGGAAGACCTGTTTCTGAACATGGACTGGAGTGCATGACTGAACGGACACCGAAGGGAACCCATCTGGTCAGCAGAGGGGTGGGCTGGGCCACTTCTCAAGCCAGGAGCGCAGCGCTGCTCACCAGGAAGGAGCAGAAGAAGATGAAGGAGACAAAGTACACGTAGGCCAGGTCGGTGCCGCAGCGCTCGCTCTCGCTCTGCCCCGACGGCGCGGTGGTGTCCGGCTCACAGCCTTTCTCCCCGAGGCACGACAGCATTATCTCCTGCCAGGCCTCCCCGGTGGCACTCCTGAGCCCAAAAGACAACTCGGTCACCGGTGGCAGGTCTCCCCTTCCCGACTCACCCACCGCCCTCCCACCCTGGCCCGAGGCACCTTCTGCGCCCAGGCAGCTTCCTTCTGGTGCTTCCCACCCCACGACGGGGAGCACCAATGAGGTCTCTCTTGGGTCCTGCCGGTTCGCCCACCGCTTCTCCATCTTTTGTTGGCAGTGGTAGAAAGAGCGGTGGGTCTCTAAGACCCCACACAACTCTGGCCACCCAGGGTTTCAGCCCGTAAATGGAATTTGGTCTGCAATCCATCCTCACCTGCCCCTTCTCAGAGCCCTGTGGGACGTGCTGACGTGCAACTTACAAACTGACCCTGGAGTCAAAGATGTGGCAGAAACTTTCTAGTGTCATCAGAGCAGTTTTCTGGAGGCCTTGCCCCCACACCCTACCATCTACCCTGCTGGAAGCAGAGCCAGCAGAATGAAGAGACAAAGGCGGATGGGAGGAAGAGGCAGGCCAGCTCTGCATCCCTCTGGCAGGAGCGCTCCAGCCACTGCAGTCACATATCCAGGTACCTGAAGAGGAGCATGAGGGACCCAAAAAAACTCCGGAAGTTGTTGTGCCGGTTAATATGACTCTCCTCGTCTAATTTGATGTTTCCAAACACCTGCATGAGGAAAACAACAGAAAGCCATGAGCACTGCTGAGCAGTGTCACGTGCCCAACACGCAGTATAAGACGCACCTGCAGGGTTGGCTAATTCACACGCATGGCTCCTCCTGACGGCCCAACCCTGAAGCAGACAACTCAAACCCAGAGAGGCTGGGGGCCTCCATGCTCTTGGTCTGATAACCAGGACTGGTTACATTTTCCAGTGAAGCAAAGAGGATGAATGCTTGCAAGGACCAGAGAAGGCAAGATCTTCGGAGTCAGCCTGCTTATATGTCGTTCCTCCCACACCTAATCTGGTCTTTTTATCTTCATGATAGCTGTTCACCACGGTGCTGACCATGGTACTTAAGCCATCTGTCAGAGCTATTAGCCTGTAATAGGAGTGCAGGGAATGCACTGCCCCCGCCTCCCTGCCTAGGGTGGTAATGTGATGTCTCAGGTTATGAGAACATTTGTATTTGCAGAAGATGTGAGTTATTCCTTAGGCAGATGCTGCCCTGGAATTTGCAAGCAGTTTAAGTCAGAGAGGGGGCATCTCTGCCTTCCTGGGGTGTGTTCCTATTCAGGGAGTCACAGCTCAGAAGTCTGGAACAGCGGTAATCCAGAGTCCATGAGAATGAACACACCGCCAAGTCCAGGCCAATAGGATGAAGAAAGGCAGGAAAACCGGACACTTGGAAAAGGAAGAAAGAAAACAGATTTGGGCAGATCTGGCTATAGTGTGCTAACTAATCTGCTGTTGGCTGCTGGGCTTAGAATGTGGTCACTGTGCAAGTTCACGTGGAAAAAGAGGGACAACGTGGAGACCTTTATACGCAGTGAATACTCAACGAGCCAAGGTCGATCCCACGGCTCTTTGGATGGGACGGGTGCCCTTACATGTGCACCTGCCCCCCCAGCCACATTTCAGATCTCAGGATCTACTCTCACACATCAACTGAAGGCTTACAGGTCACCCTTCCAGCCTGTTGAGACAACGTTCAGCCTGTGTTTAACACACTTCAGTTTCTCTAATATATGCTAAATGGAACACGTTTCCCCCCCGCCAACAGTGTTTAGAATGTGCAATTGATGAACAGTCTCTGCTCTTTTGCTCAAATAACTCCCACTGACACCTGCTCGGGGAATTTGTTCTAAACACTATTTTTCAAAGCCTAAATCTTGCTCGTCTCTCAGGGAGAATGGAGTTGGCAAACTTGGCAGCACTGGGGGAGCTGGGGAGGAGGAAGGGGCCCCGGTCAGACAGGTAGCAGCACCGATAAAACCCACCCAAACCATCGAATCTGGTTCTGGACACCCCAGGTGGAAGCTGTCATATAGCCTTGCCTGTCTTCATAGCTGCGTCTGTCTTTTCACCCTCTTAACTCAGAATCCATGATTCATCCTTGATTCATCACATATACACAATTTAGTGTTTTTTCTTCCTGTGACACTCCTGAAGCCATCATTAGTTGTCATGATTGTCTCAAATACCTTATCCAATCATGAAGCAGCTTGGAGGGTGCAATGGGATTTTACCAAAGGTACATGTGTAACAGTCAAGGAGCCCAAAGCCAGAAATGTACATTTATTATGAAGGTGGTCTTTAAATTTTTCACCTTTTTTTTTAATCAGTCCTTGACATTAACCCAAATCTCTAACATCAAAAGGAAAGGATACGGAAGAGAAAGAAGGTTTGGTGAGACCCATCAGAAAACATAATTGAAGTATAGGCTTAAATCCGTTTTCACTTGCGCTCACAGAACTTTAAGCCTGGAAAGGACCTGCAAAGCTATCTGTGCAGCTCCTCTGCTGCACTGACGACGGTGTTAAGGCCCAGAGAGGCTCAGTGACTTGACCAAGTTTGTACAGCTGGTCAGTGCTGGAGGTGAGGCTTTCAGGCTAAGGACCTGTCGCCCCAGGGCTCTTTCCCAAACCCAGCAAGTTACTTCTTTCTTCTACCTTCAGATTCCTCTGCAAAGCTCTCTTCTTCCAAGAAGCCCTAGAAAGTTCAGAATAAGGGTTCTTCTCAAAGATACTTCAGTTGCCACTTATATCTTTCCAATGCATGTCTATACTCTCTCTTTGTTTTTCTGTTTGTATAGATCCCTTGGCTTTGTCATGACTATACAAGATACAGCCTTTCTAGTCACAAGCTAGGTGTCTGCTCTGTGCGTGGTGTGGGGTCTCTGTTGCGGGCCAGGCTGAGGATGGCCAGCTCAAGGAAGTCATGGTAGGAACACCCGTCATGTCTTGTTGGAATGGATAGGAGTGCTCTTATTTTTTGGAAATAAGTCTAAGGGCAATAAAGTATTACATATTACAGTTATTGTAAATATTGCAATTTCATAACAGCTCCCACCTCCCACTAAAGGGTCAAAGAAATACTTGGGTTTGCATGTGGGTGGGAGGGGAGACAGCACAGAGAACACGCAGTACAGGAGGAACGTGCGCTGCCAAGCAGGCAGGGCTGACTTTAGATCTCAGCTCTCCCACTTACTATCTGAAATCCTGAGTGTGTTACAAGTTACTTAACCAAGTAAGCATCAGTGGAGACAATGAAACCCACCTATAAACATTCACATCACTCCTGAATACATTAGTCACATATTGTGTGTGTGTGTGTGTGTGTGTGTGTATAATACATATATTTGGGGTGGGGGAGAGAGAATGGGAGAGAAACGGAGGCAGGAGTGGGCAAGAACATATATTTAGCACAGTGTCTGGGACACTCAGGAATTCAGGTTACTGTAAATAGTGTTCTCATTATCAGCAGTATTTCGAACAGGTTAGTATTGGAGTTGGTTTTATTCTAGTTTATTTTGCTTGAAGATGAAAAGGGGATAAGAACAATTTTAAGCATGGATCCAAAAAAATCCTTAATTTAATCAAGTTTCATTTGGCTGTTCAAGAACATTTTAATTCTAGAATCAAATATTTGAGAGTTAGAAGGGACTTAATAGAAGTCATCAAGCCAATCTTCCACTTCTGCTGGGATTCAGCTTGCAACACACCCCTGACATCATCGTTAAATCTCTACCGAAATATCCTCTGTGAAAGAGAACTCATTATTTCTCAACCAAGCCTCACACTTTGACATGTGACATTCTATTGTATTTTTGGAGAACCAAACCCTCCAGTAATGGGATTAGAAAATGGACAAAATTAGGGGATGCAGGCAAGAGAGAGGAGCAAAAAGAAGGCATTTCAGAGAGGCGCTGGAAAGGGCTGCGGATACAGCCAGCCGGCGGCGGCGGGCGGGGGGGGGGTTGTGCAGTGGCTCCAGATGGCAGGCCCCATTGAGAAGGCAGCTGGCAGCCCAAAGGCAGCCTGACTGCAGGAGACCGCCACTTGGCTGAGGTCCTATGCTGGGGTTTAGCCTCCACATCTCCAAGTCGGAGAGTCTGCCTCCCTGTGCCCAGCAGAGAGCCTGTGTATCCGCCTAGGATAGTTGTATGATGTGCTTGTAGGATGTGCTGCTGGTTCTTCACCCCCCACAAATGGCAGTTGCCTTTGAAGATTGGCCTCTGCTGCTCAGTGGGCCTCTGGTTACCTTATTCTCAATTTGGAAACTGGAAAGGATGTGGTAACCAAGGGGCATTGTCCAGCAAGCTGCATGGTCCTTTGAGATGGACTGGCTGGAATGTGGCCGGTGGGTTTCCTTAGGGTCGGGCACACTGCCAGGAACTCTGAGTTGTTCCCGGTGGTGGGACTTAAGAGCATAAATCTCTGCCTTTGGAGACATAACTCACACACATTTTGTGTTGCCGTACACAGGAGAACAACCACTTGATCTTTCAGGGTTACTCACACATGGGGGTATCCTGAGATCCAGATCATCAAGGGCCTCACACTCTCCTCAGTCTCCCGGGGGACCCCTCTGGCTAAGAACAACTGTGTCACCTTGGCTGGAGTTCTGCTTTGTGCCCACAGAAGTCCAGCTGCAATGTGAAGCAGCACCATGATCTGCCAATCTCAGAGGCAGCCCCTGTATCGGACCACCCTGAACACCTGGGCAGGTGAGCGGGGAACCCTGCACATGTGAATTTCCAAGGTCACATTGCATCAAGATCTTGGGAGCATGCCTCTGGGCAAGAAGAGATTCTTTAAAGCACCTTCAGTCCTGTGTGCTCAGGCTGGAAAGCCACACACTATCTGGGCAACAACTGTCCCCCACCAGGCCCCCGATGCGCCCGCTCACCTGCATCCCAATGATGGCATAGATGAAGAAAAGCATGGCGATCAAAAGGCAGACGTAGGGGAGGGCCTGGAAGGAGAGCAGACACACGCGGACCGTGAACTCCAAGGCAGGCAGTTCCAGGATCAACCACCTGCAGTCCCAGGCAGTACAGGAACTCTTGCCCTGAGGCTGAGCTAAACACAGGGCCAGGACTCTGCTCCCTGGGGCCATTCTATCTCATGGTTCCATGCTTTTTTAGATGTCCACGTCCTCTGACAGAGATGTAAGCTGTTAGCCCCAGAGAGGCTTGTAAATGGTCATCTGTCAGGACTATTCCCTCACCCAGAAGCAGAGCCCAAACCTCCAAGGGAGAGCTGGGGAAATGTCCCGGGCTTGGGGTTCATCCCACTCTGCACGCAGAGTGTTAATCACCTAGGCAACTGTGATGCAAATTACACAGCAAGAATCAAGCTTTGGCTCCCAAGTCCCTGTCTCACCCTTCCCACTCCCTCGGCTCAATGTGAAGCTCGTAATAGAGCCTCTGGGCAAAAAAAATCAAACAGCTGGGGTCTCAGTTGTTGGTCAGTTCCTAGAAGTCTTCCTTCAAACTCTGATGAAACATCTCTTCCCAATGGTTAAGCCTCTTGACCTTTCATTACATGTCCTGCAAAATTCCAAAAGGCCTTTCAAAGTGTGAGCCACCACAAAACCCTGCCACAAAGCCACGTGGTGTCAGATTCCACCCTGTGCAAGCTAACTTCCACTCGGGGATGATAACACATGAATGACGGGGGTGAAGGGGGCCCATGCAGGAGATGGAGGGTGGGGAGTGGTCCTTGGTGGCTGGGGGAGGATGGAGACATAGGGCAGCTTGGTTTGGGGGCCAGCATGGCCACTCTAATCCTAGGGTGACCTCAGTGCTGACACAGAAGCCCATCTTCTTCACCGGTAAGCTTCACTGGCAGGCGATGCAACTCCGAGTCTCCCCTCTACCTTGAGTGTGAACAACACAAATCCCAGGAGAGCAATTGAAGGCTTGCAGACTGCGCGAGCAGGGCAGAGCTTATCAGCAGAGCTAACTAAATGAAGAGCCCTGGAGACTTCTACAACTTGAGTAAGGAGTAACATTAAAATGCAACGGAAAGGCCGCGGGAGGACCCCGTCTCCTGTGATGTGCTGATTCCCAAGGCCTGTGGCAGGAGTGGCTGCATTTTGAGGGGCCGTGAAGACACCCTCTGCTGAGAGGAGAGGGTAGGGAGGCAGGCCTCGCCCCTCTTGTCACCTTCTGCCCTTTACTTCCTGCCCTTATTCTACCGTCTCCACTCCAACGGCCCCAGCCCCTAGTACATCTCTCCCTACCCCCAGCTTTGGGGAGAGGACCAAAGATTCGTCCTGATCTCTTTTCTTGTCATGTTATAAATTCCAACACAAAATAAGAAAGAGAGAGAGGAATGGAGGCGGGGTCAGTGGTGGAGAACTGGGTGATGCCTGGGGGGTGCGGTATAGGCGGTGGCAGTGCTGTTCGCACTGTGCGACTCTCGGCTGTGTGTTTGCAAGGGCAACTTCTGCTAAACCAACTTCAAGAAAACAACATCCACACTGTGCCCCAGGGCTGTTCTGAGAAGGAAACACCCACGCTTCACAGTGTCACCTGGAGGCAGACTCACACCTGTCTCCACTGTTCTCTGTTTACTGGAATAAGCCATTTGGCCATCAATTTTTGACATGCTTTTCCTTGCCCTCAACAGTATACAGTTTTACAGAGAAGCAGTGATCATGATAACATGACAAGCTGACACAGATTTCTTCAGAGACTCACTAAGCACTGTAACTTCTTGGGTAGGCTGTGAAAAAATGGTCCAAGAGCACCTTGTGTTTCAAATTCTACACCAGATTCTCCTGAGACTCAAATGGTCAATTCCTGCTATGGTTTTAGACTTCTCCTCTGCCATTTAGCTTTGGAAAAAATAGTTTTCATTGAGGTGAGGCCTCTGTGGGAGTCATCACACCAAACAATTACTCTGAATACAATAAAACTGTCAAGGCTGCTCATAGGAGCCTGAACATCCTTGCAACTGGTCTCACCTCTCAAATCCCACAGACCTTGATGGAGAAGTAAATCAGTGATGAAGGCGTGGGGTGCACTCCCTTTCAAATGATGGGAAACCATGAATTCACTGACCTGCCTTCTTTAGTTCAATTTGTAATTAAAATACATAAATAATTAAAATAAAGAAGGCAGGTCAGTGAATTCATGACTTCTCATCTTTGAATCAATTTCATCAAATGTATTTTTAAAATACATTCTGAAAACCTGTTTTTAAAAGAGGAAAACATTAGGCTATCAAAAAGCACTGATGCCCCTCAAACCTTAAAAACAAACTAATTACCAAAAATTAATTATGATATTTGCTAGAATGCGAAGATTTTTAAATATGTTTGGAAAACTCCTTTTACTGGAAGCCTCCGCCATTAAAGTGGGTCTCAGGTACCAATTTTTAACTTGTACTTATTACATATATACCTCTTATGGCCCCATGAGACCATTCAAATGAAGCCCACCATATTAACCTTGGGCAGACGTCCTATTAGTTTGCAGGACACAGAGGTGACCACCAGCATGCCATACATTCAGTGGTTCAGGAAAGACACACTAATGAAGACATGAGTGGGACTGGTATGAATCATCCTGCTATAAAACACAACTCAAGGAGTCCCCTGAAATGCTGTTCTGTGGAATAAAGCCACGGACTGAAAACGCAGAGGCTGCGTGACTCCAGGTGGCTGGCTCTGCCCGTGGACGGACTTGCTCAGGACACCTTGGAACACCCGGAGAGGGAACAGCCCTCATAAAACAGGCCCCCACCTCAGCGGACAGAGAAGACAACTGAGTTACACAGCTGAGGTGTTCGAGAACGAGATTCCAGCCAATCAGCGGTGAGCTGCCCGCCGCCTGGCTGAGCTGTGCTGTAATGAAGAACTGCTGGGTCTACTGGATGCTTCTGGCAACACCCATGTGCAGAGGCGAGGGCTCCTGTGGAGTGATGCCATGTGGCCTGCGTGCTGTCTGACACGACAGGGCCCCCGCAACCCTCAGCGAGGAGGAGCTGGTACCCTTTACCTTGAAGGACTGCACGAAGGTCCAGAGTAAAATTCGGATGGTGTAGCCCTGGCGCAGAAGCTTGATGAGGCGGGCGGCTCGGAAGAGCTTCAGAAAGCTCATGTTGAAGCCACTGGTGTTCACCAGCTGGTGGACCAAAAGGAAACGTGTAATTAGTGACATTATGGTCATTTAGAAAATCTAAGCACTAGTATTTGTGCATTTATCCTTCATTCAGATCATAAAATTGAACACAGATTCCATCTTTCGTTTCTAACCCCATCTCCAGCTGACAGCCCCCGGAAGGACCATCTCTCTAGGCCTCCCAAGCCTGCCCTCAGTTCCCAGGTAGGAAGGTATGGAAGTGCCCCGGGAGGGCGCCCCACACTCAGCTGACAAGACTGAGCTCCCTCATCTTCTGTAAGCGGTCCTCACTCTGCTCTTGGATGCCAGAGAGCAGACCAGAGAACCCCTCCAATGTTCAAAGAGCTGTGACGAGCAATCTGCGTCTTCTTTAGGATAAACAATTTCAGATCTAACCACTTTGGGGGTGAAGACTCCGTGCCTCTTGTGTGCCTCCCAGAGTCCAGCAGAGCACCGTGCTCACTCGGCCTCTCTGGCGCCCTCTGTCCCACTCGCCCCCTTTGGGGCTGCTACTTGAGTCACACAACTGGAACCAAGCCTTCTAAGAGATCCAGCACCACTTGGATATTTGCATTTTCTGGCAAAAGCTCAGGAAGTGCATGGGGGCTATGCATTTGGTTTGAGGAGTTAAAAATGGGCTGAACGTGCAGAGGATTTTTTTTTTTCAATGTCACTCCTGGGCCAAGCTTAAAGAGAGGGATCTAGGCGCCACTCACCTTGCTGTCTGTCAGGATAATTTCTGTGATGCTGCCGATCACGGTGATGAAGTCAAAGATGTTCCAGGTGTCTCGGAAATAGTTCTGCCAAGGGGATTCAGTCATGGGAGCATCGGGGGAGGAAAAAAAAGAAAACAAGGGGGAAAATGGAGAAAAGACATCTTTCATTACATAACTCTGTCACTTGGAATTAAAACTTGTCAATTCAAGTACAAGTTCCTTCTAGCTTTGGCTTTCGTATCCTCTTTCTCACCAGAAATGCTGTTTCTCCTTAACTAATCTGAGATTTCTCCTTTGGGTAGGTGTTGCGTCATTATTCAGAGATCTTGTTTTTGAAGCTGTCGCTAAAAAGCTACATAAAATATATGTAAGATTTTTTAAAATGGAATATTACATAAAAATACGTAAGAAAGGGATGTGTGGCCTAGAACATTATGACACCCAAAAAAGAAAACATCATCATTGTCACCCATAAGACAGTAGAATGATTTACAACATTACTCTAAGGTTTTCCATAACGGTGGCCTTTAAATTATGTATATAGTATCGCGTGACCCTACAGATAGACAGCTCTGACTTGCAACTTTCAATAAAAGTCACATAGGCATCCTAAGTGACTAAAACTCAGAGATGTACCAAAAATCTCTTCCTGACTCTGCTGAGCCTTTTCAAACCAACTGCTGATCAGCAATGAGATGAACAAACCCATCTTTCCACTCCACTCTTTCTTTGCTCTGCTCCACCTTTTGAGGAGCTGTAACTAAATAAAACGCAAGGAAGAGGCAATAAAATGAGTGGGTTGAAGGAGACAGAGAAATACAGGACCTGGATGATGCACCAACCAGGTAACATCCCGCATCATAGAGAAGGGGGACTCTGCTCCCATCTCCAGGGTGCAGGTGAACACAGACCTTAGACTACATTCCTTAAAAGAAACAGGGCGACTGGGTACCCGAAACGTTGCCCACTTGCCCTTGGGGAGCACCTCCCATAAGGGACCCTCTGAGCACGGCGCAACTGACACCCATCCTGACAACTGGCAGTAGTGAGTCCTTACTACGTGTGCCAGACTCTGGGCCAGGTCCTTCCCTGGCATCCTTTCAGTTCATTTATTCCTCCCATGGATCCTCCAAGTGGGTAGTGATAAATACCTCATGCTCATAAAATACTGAGTGGTAGGAGTGGCAAGAAGAGTGGGAAGAGATACGCAACAGAGAGGGAGGAGGAGTGTAGGGAGAGAGAACGTACGCTTAACCAGCGCCTCGCAGGACCAGACGCCTCGGTGTGTTCCCTGACTGGACACACACACGGTATCTAAGGCTAGAGGGCAGCCCTGTTACCCTCCTATGAATGAGAAAACTGACGCTTCAAGACGCCGGTCTGATTCCAAAGCCACAGGCACCTGCCAGGCATGGAGAGAAACCAGGCACACAGCCTCACGACTCACTTCTGCAGAGGAGACCTACTCCTTCAGGAGTGGGGCCAGGTGGAGTCTCCGAGGTCCCCAGTTCTCAGGGCTCTCCTAATCCCACCCTGGGGTGAGCGTCTGAATTAATTCTTGGATAGATCCAAATACAAGAACCAGAATATGAACCTAGATCTCAAGAGGACAGAAGCCCTGGATCCCAGCTGAGAAGACTTGACAATATGGTGTGGTCGAGCCCAGCCCAGTACAGTCCAGACTAGCAGATCACGGTGGACAAAGTGAGGGCTTTGAAGTCAGACAGACCAGGATCTGAACCCTGGCAGCTGGCGCTGCCTTCCTGTGACCTTGTGCAAAGCACTGAATCTTCCTGAGCCCGAGCTCACCAACAAAGGAGGAAAGCACCTAATGCCCATCTAACAGAGTTGCTATGAAGTAAAATACGTAAAGCATTTGGTATTTAGGAGACAACCAATGTGTGTTAACTCGCTCCCTCTTTCTTTTTCCTTCTTCCTTCCTTTTTTATTCCCATTCTACTTTCCAGTTCTACTGCTTTTTACTGTGTAATCGTCAAAAAGCGACACAAGTTTTTCTGAACGTCAATGTCCTCATTTAAAATAACAACAACAACAAAAATAATGACAGTCTCTGCCAGGCCTGTTTCAGAGTCACTGAACACGTCTGTCAGCACGGTACACGACAGGGAATTCTGAAGTCCTGCAGCGCCGTATCAGTGAAAATTCAGGGCGAGTGGTGCCTTTCATGGTGTGAAAATGCGTGTAGACCTTGAATGAAAATATGGGGGTGAGGGTGGGAAGGAGGCAGACTCTGGGGCCGAATCATCTAGCTAAGCTTCTAAGTATGTATTCAGCAGCCACCATAATCAGACACGTAACTGGGGACTTAAGTCACAGACAATTGTCAATACGACAGGCAAGTCATCAAGACGCAGAGAAACACTTCCCCCTCGTGGCACCGCTTCCCCTCCCCTGCACCCAGCCCAGGGCTAGGCTATTACAAAGGCTTCCTTGACGGTGTGCTTTCTTTCCACTTTGTCATTTCCCCAAGTCTCAAAACACTCAAAAGGGAGTCAAACAACCCACAATACAGCCAGAGCAATGGGCTCCCTTCAGCTCCTCAAACCATCAAATCAGTGACTTTTCAAAGAACCACCAGGAGACCAGGAGCAAGCCCCTCCATCAGCCCTTACGATCCTCGGGCCAGAGTCCTGGTTCAAGCGGCCGCCGGACAAACCCATGATCAGATAACAGGCTAAGTTTCTCTTCTCGCAGGGAAAGCCATACACACATCTAATTTGAAATGGGAGCTCAAGCTCACACACTGAATAGGTGTGACACAGCTGTCACGCGGGTTTATCTGCATCCCGCTGATCTCACTGTAAACGCTGAGCCAAGAGCTGAGGGGTTTGGGGACAGAGGATTATTTTGTTTCCAGGACACTGAAAAAAAGGGCTAGGTTTGCTTAACGTTCTTGGTGGCAGATGCAAGAATTTGCCAAACAACTATGATTAGTAGTTGAGGAGAAGTAAAAGGAGGACTCACGGCATGGAAACACAGTCCCAACCCCCCTGGAACCCAATTCCAGAAACCCCCTCTCATGCTCTCTCTCCCTCCTTCTCTCTCTCACACACACTTACACACTTCAGAGGTCATTAGCCTTTGTAAGCTTAAGTACTGAATATTTATTTTTATTGGCAGAAATTACTCTTCACGTAACTACAGGGAAGAGGACAATCAGGTACACTCTGTCATCTGCTATGTGCGAGGCCACGAAGGACAGATACTTTCCCATTTGAGTTATAAAATCTTCAGTCTTCTACCAGTAAAGTAGCACCCAAGGCTGATTAGTCCGATCCTTGTCTTATTCCTTACCAACATACAAACCTTACTAAATTCTAGTGAGACCCAGTGACTGTCACCTCTCAACCACTGACAGAACTTGGCAGCAACAGAGCTGATGGCTACATGAATACGGAGCTGGGGATCTGGTTTCTTTTGCCCCTTCTCATGACACCCTCACACATTGTCTTGTCTCTATGGCGGTTTACTGAGCAGTTGAAACAAGCCCACAATTAGATGGGCAGGTGTGTGAACCGTTTCTGGAACAGCGGTAACCACCCCCCTCTTCCAACAAGGCTGGGGACATACCCCCCTAAGGAGGGAAGACAAGCACGATGCTGGGATGAATTCCATGACGTACCAAGAAGCCAAATGCAATGATCTTTAGGACACATTCCAGGGAAAACACCATGGTGAAGGCGATATTCAGGTACTTCAGGGCCAGTTCATAGGTGCAGGGAGCAGAGTAGTACTACCAGGAAGAGAAAAGAGGAGAGAAAGAATCAAACCCTAACGGTGAGAGGGTGACCACGTCACAGAGGCCGGCCGCCTCTCATCCCAGCCACCTCTCATCCCTGCCCTCGGAGGGCGTGCTGGTGCACGACGGAGGAGGAGAGATGGCCACCGAGTGCTAAGGAGGAGAACACATCCTTGGTAACAGGACAAAACAAACCAAACAAAACAAGACAGGAAAACCCAGATCATGCCCCACTGAGGTCACTTATTAGCAAAACAGCCAGTCTTCCTAGAGATGAAGGTGGGAAGGGCATCTATATTTTCTACAGTTAATTTCCTTACCATTTTGTAGTCAGTAACTCAAACCTCTCCCAACTCTCTTTTAGAACCCTGTGATCACCCACATCTCCTGGATTCCCGCCCTTGTCAGAATCTGTCGGTCATCACCAACCTTCAGTTTCAGAGTTACTGGACCGCTGCTGCCTATTTCACTGCATTTTGCCCCAAAGACCCAGAGGCTGGGAGGATGTAGGAGGCAGGATCGAAAAGAGATTCCACAATGGCAGAGGGGGTGAGGAGAAAACAGACTGGTAAGTCGGAGTGTTTTCTCAGCCTCTCGGGTGCACACACAAGTGCTCAGCGAGGGAACAGTCACCGAGGTTCGGCCTGCCCGAGCGCCGCCCAGCCACCGTCCTCTCACCTTCATCATCAGCACGACGGTGTTCAAGGCGATCATGGCCATGATGGTGTACTCAAAGGACGGAGACACGACGAAGTGCCAGACGCGGTACTGGAAGGTGTGTCTGTTCTGGGGCATGTAGCGGGTGAGCGGCTTGGCACTGATGGCGAAGTCGATGCACGCCCTCTGTAGGGGAATCACACTTGTGAGCCTGAGCTCAGAGTGCCTCCCCCCTGTGGTCTGGAGCAGGCGGGCTCTCTGCTAGATGGTTAGACGTGGAGGACGGGGCAGGAAGAAGGGCTAGGGCTGGACAAGCAGAAGTAAAAGGGGCAAAAGAAAAGATCCAGACAAAACTACGGGTGAGACGTCACCTTAAATGAACACACAGGACACTAGAGGGATTCTATCCCTTCGGGCCAGAACTTAATGGTTGTTAATAATGTCCTTTTACACAGCATGTGGCTGAGACATTCAGGCAGGGAGACGCCTGCAGTCAGAAGTAACACTCTAGGCCCCTGTGCATTCTCGTAACATTTTATTTGCACTTCTCTTACAGCCTCTAACGACGTCTAGTTCAGTTCTACTATAAAAACAATAACCTCTACAATGTGCCCGTGCGCTTGTTACTAGAAGAGCAGTAATAAGTAAGCAAGTTCCCTGCCCTTACGGCAAATACACGCCATCGAGGGGCATGGCCATGTAAGCAGATGTCTTAATGTTGTAACGCTGACCGACATCTTTTACCCCCACATCCAGACCTCGCGCTGCATAAAGGTAGAGACTGCATCTTAAACACCTACGTCCCTTCCAGGTCTCTGTGCATCATACCAGGGCATTACACAGAGGAGTAAAAAAAAAAGTTTATTTAAGGACTAATTAGTTAGTCCCATCTTCTCTCTAGAATTGACAAGAAAGTTAAGAACGTTCCGTCTTCCTCCTAACGCGGCTGGCCAGAGAGTCCTTTCCAGAGCCCCGGCTGCCCCACGCTCCAGGCCACTTGTCCTACCTCATTCTTTTCCAGGCTGCACTCCTCCATCATCTTGTCCCCTTGCTCCTGGAAGGTGATGATGATGAGAGCCACGAAGATGTTGACGAAGAAGAAAGGGAAGACCACGAAGTAGACCACGTAGAAGATGGACATCTCCATGCGGTTGCTGCGGCTCGGGCCCCGGTCTTCCTCGGTCACGTCGACGGAGTGCTGCAAGACTCTGGGGACAGACGGAGGGGGCGCGGATGGTGATTGGCAACCTCGGCAGCTGCTCAGACTCAAGGCTCCATTAGCAGCGGTGCCCCCTATTGTATTTCCTTATCTGGCTTTTTAAACTTTGTGGCTCCTCCATGAATCTGGGGTTCCATAACCAAGTTGGTGGAGGTCCAGTGACACCCAATCCACTGCTCTTTCTAGCCCCTGGGCCACCATGCAGCCAACTCCTAAGCACCAGAGTGACTTTTTTATAGTTGAGGTTGTCATAATGAGTACCAAGAGACTCCTGAATTTCCACTTGGCGTTTTGCTGCCAAGAGAGTACGCTGCCACCAGAAAGTGGCATCTAAGTAATGGCCAAGTCCCTGAAAAAATCAGCCTGCAGCTACAGGCAGCAGAAGAAACTGCATTCTGTTACCTTCTTCATATGAGGTATGATCACAGAAAGCATCTCTGGGTTCTGCCAGCTCCTCTTTAACCCTCAATCCTCAGGTCCAGGGCCAACTTGGAGGATAAATCAGTCTCTCACAGTTGTCAGGGACTCTCCTAAGGTGCACAGAGCTGTTCAAAACACCTTTGTTCTAGAGGAGCCAGAGGGCTTCACTCAACTCCTCCATCACTGGCTGAAATATTAAGGGTTTCAAATAGTTCCCTGTCTTTGCCATCTCCCTCTCGATTCCTGCCTGAAGGATTTTCACTCTTCCTCTCTGCGGCCTGTCTCGCCTACTCAGAACCACTCACTTTCCCTGGAACAAAAACAAAAGGTTCGCCCTGTTCATCTTGAATCAGCTCCTCAAGGCAAGCAGCTGGCCCCAGCCAGCTCCTGGGTGAGCGCTCCAGCTCGAGCCCCGCACTCACTGAGGCCACCCTTCCCCCGTGGAGACGGTGAAGAGGGTCAGCAGGGCCCAGATGATGTTGTCATAGTGGAACTCGTGGCGCTTCCATTCTCGGCCTTTCACCTCCATCTTGTTTTTCTCATGATCGACGTAGTTGCCTCTAAAACCAGCATAGGAATGAAAGAGGACCTTGTCACTCATGGAAAAGTAAAGAAATTCAGTGGACTTCGATCATGTATGGGAGTCACCATCGGCATTCAAACACAAGGAAGGAGTTTCATTAAAGGCAGTGTATTACTGTGGGATAAAAATGGGATTTGGTGCCCCACAGACATGGACGATAAAATCCTAATCCTTCAGTGATACCACGTAACCTTGAGCAACTTCCTTCAACTTTCCAAGCCTCAGCTTCTACAACTACGATGTGCAAATGAAACCCATCTCAAAATGTCATTACAAAGATTTAAAATTAAAAACCGATGTCAAATGCCATGGACCCCGTCTGACACAAAAGAGGTAGTCAATCAAAATTCAACAACTTCTTATGTTGCCTTTTCCCCAAAAGAGCAATGAGGGTGGGAAGAGAGAAAGAACAGACTGTCCACAAAGGGTCGAGCGGATCTCATCGGAGCACACATGAAAGAAAGTGAGAGTCCGTGCTGGTGGCACTTACATGCACTCCTTCTCGGTGTCCTTGGAGCTGTCCGTGCAGTAAAAGAACTTGCCCTTGAAGAGCTGAACTGCGATGACAGCAAAGATAAACATGAAGAGCTTATAGACAATGAGGATGTTAAAGACGTTCTTCAAGGAGGTCACCACACAGTCGAAGACGGCCTGTGGACAGAAGCAAAAGCCCAGCCGTGTGAGCCTCCGGAATGGCCTGTGTTTCTGCCTGGAGCTGCGCTGGAGCCAGACCACCACCAGCCAGCCCCACCGAGAAGGTGTCCCAGGAGCCACCGCCCTACTGAGAAGGGACACCCAGGGGCCTCAGCCCCGGCTTCCAAGCTGGTCCTGACTGTAGGAACCTACCATTCGGGAGGGGAACACACGCTCTGAATCTGAAAGGAAACCCAAGGCAGGAGAGACCAGATGGTACCAGGCAGCCGAGGGAGTCCTCTGTGGAATCCCATTACGTGCTCTCCACTTAGTGTGAAACACAGACATTCACTGCAGAAAAAGGGGTCCTTGAAATCCTTTAGCCTTTTTCAGGCATTAAATAGCTTATCCCTAACCTCATGTACGTGGTGATAGTCTTAGATTTGATTTATATACTGAGTAGGTTTTGTTTTCTCTTTGCCTTTCTAAATGGATCAGAGAGTAATTAAATAATAAACTATCATCTTTGCTCATTTTAATGATGATCTTGTAACAAGTTCATACACTTCCTCCAATTATGTTTGACAGTTCACATAACTGTTCTCTAGCTTCAAGCTGCTGTGAGGGGTACAGATTCAACAGGTGGCGGCGGAGCTGGGTGAGAGCCGCCCCTCTTAGAGCTGGGAGGACCATGTGGGGGGATCAGGGACTTGCACTTCAGGTCAAGGCGGTGGGACTTCAGCTATATGATATACCCTAGGCCCTAAGCGCTGAGAGATATGTGGGAATTCAACACAGTTGAAGCCATTTTTAGGTTATTTGCTAGGTTTTTAGGTTTAAGCTCACTGGCGAGCCTAGCCCCACAGTGGTGCTACACTTGTGTGCTTGCTTCTTCGCAGCGCTGGGCAAACACTGCCCATTTAACTAGTTCAGCATCACAGGGAATGAGTGACACGCAGCATTGTGGAATTCTCGGAGGCACCGACATTGCCCTCAGGTGATGGAGCTGCAGAGAGAGGAGCCCGTGCTTCCTAATGTGTTGGAAATAACCAGGGTGGAGTCGCCTTCTCCAGCCTGTTAACGAATCTCATCACGCTCCTCTGGGGACCCCAGTCTAGCTCAGAGGAGACGAAACCACTGGACCTGGGCTGCAGCAACGGCAGTGGTGAGACCCCAGGCCTCCCGACCATACTTTGCTGGGAGCGAGGCAGAGAGGAATGGACGTCCATGGGCAATGACCCAGCCCAGGCTCTACGCTGGGCCCCCCAAACTGTGGGAGACGCCTCATCCGGGGCGGAAGGTGGAGAGCAGGCAGTGAGGACACCCCCTTTGGTGCACAAGTACCTTTCCCCGGAATTCCGTGCAGACGGCCAGGGCTCTGGGCTCTGAGAGGACGCCAGGTCTCAGCCAGTGAGGGGCTTTTCAAAAGTGACTTTCCTGCGTTCTGATGCCTTTGGTAAACCTAGCTGGTTTGCCGCCTCTCTGTAGAAACAGAGGGCTGAAGGGCGGCGGGGGAGGTGGGGAGGGATTGCTGGGGAGGATCAGAGGTTGTGCAAACTCAATGGGAAAGAAGAACTGGGAACACGGAGAGGCCCCTGGTCCCTCCCTGATGGTGGCTGGCTCTCATTCACAGGATCTGGGGGAGGAGGAACTTTTTTCCCCGTGAGGCTTAGCTTCCAGATCAGTGATGTGGGGGGAGGCGGGTTCAACGTGCTAGCCAACTTGAATGGTAAAGCACGCCCTCTGAGGGCAGGGAGGCTCAGGCAAGGCGCTCAGGGGCGGGTGAGCAGGGAGGGCGCTGGCTGGGAGCAGAAGAACCAAGGTAACGTTGTCTTGGCAACAAGAACTTAGTTCATGTCAGCTTACTTCCCTGCTTCTTCTCTGCAGCGGCCAAAAATGCCTGTGTCCTTGGGCAGTTACTGACCTATCTGTGCCTCAGAAATACAAAGGGCCAGGGCCAGAAGATCCTTTCGCTTTACAGAATTATGAGGAAAGAAACCCTCCCAGGCTGCCTGGTCTGATCTCGTGTGCAGACCACCATGGAGGGCTCCGGCCGCCCCCACCTCAGGGTTCTGGGTCCGCCTGAGTGGCACAGGGGGCGCTGGGACAATGCCACACAGGGTTCCTCCTAGATGACCTGGCGCAGCGTGTATAACCCCTCCTGGGTTTGGACTCAGAGGCAAGAACCTCCTTGTAGATCTGGGATATTGGTTATTTTCCTTTGAAACTGAGACCTTCAGCTCAAGTGGATGAAAAGAATCTCAGTTTCGGCACAAGCACAAGGAAAATTCCCAGAAAGAATTCTCCCAGAGCAGGCCAGCCACGGCTGAAGAGAGAGGATGGAAGAAGGGGGCCGACGGGAAGACCCCCGGCGAACGTCACCTTGAGCTTGGGCAGGCGCTTGATGGTCTTCAGTGGCCTCAGCACCCGGAGCACCCGCAGCGACTTGATCGTCTTGATGTCGCGCCCCTTGTTGGTTCTGCAGGGGAAAGGTCCCCGGGGAGTCACAGGACAGGGGAGAGTTAAAGTGACAGTCACACTGCAGCATTAACAACGGCAGGGGAGAGGGCGAGAGAGGTAGGCAAGAGGCCAGAGGAGACTCGTTTAGGGAGACCCCCCCAAAAAACACGCTCCAGGAAAAATTCTTCAATGACTCCCAGGGTGCACACACTCATATGCACACACACCCCCACATGCACGTACACACCCACGTACACTCAGAGGCACACAGAGAGGCACCCGTGCGCACACGGTAATCAACACGTCCTCTCCCTAACAGCCATCACCACACTGGCCAAGTGCAAATGCAAGGCGGGTGGACTAGAGAACACGACCGTGGCGCACTGCAGAGCCTCACGGTGCCTGGTCTAGGAAGTCTTCACCGAGGCTCCCAAATGATGTCTGAATTGAACAGGGAGCTACGGTGGAGATCAAGTCTCATCAGGGGACTCAACCTAGTCCTGTCTTTGGCTCTAGGTTTGTCACCTCTGCACTGTTCACTAGGTCAGGGGAGACCATGGTGAGGAAGCCCGGTGGGGCACAGGACACTTGTGCTGTGCTGGGCTGCGTGCTCCAGGGAGACCATGTCATGCAGGCTTCTTGCCAGGACCTGGCTCACACCCAGATTCTCTGTGCGGCTGGCTCTCCCTGTGGTCCCCTCCCTTTTCCAGCCCCCCTGCACCCAGCACAAGCTGCAGAGAGCCTTACAGCGGGAGGAGACCCGAACCGCAGCCCCTGCCCACCTCCATCCTTGCCCTGCAGCTAACGACCCTCCCTATTCAGCCCCTTAGAAATGTTTCTCCTAGTAGATAAAATACACTTCTCTCTATTTTTAGGGAGGAAATGAATAAATCGGCCTGCATTTCTCTCTCCACCCTGAGCATCCCCTGAGATCCTCGCATTCAAGTCAAACAACTGCAATTTGTCAAAGACGCAGATGGTAGGAAATGAGAGTCTAAGTAGTGAGCTCAGGCTCTGGTTCTGTCCTCACGGTGGCCCCGATTACCATAACACCAGCTCTCCCAGGAAACGCGAGCCGTCCAGGACATCAGATGGAAGCTGCAAGGCTTCGGCCTGTTTTTGACCCTGTCCTTCTTGCCATCCCTACCCCCGCAACGGGAGTTCAGGGGCCCTCTTCTCTTTCATACAAAGCAAGGTAGGAAGACACTGAATGTAACCAAAGAATGCTGACTTTCCCCAGAACGTGAATTTTAAGACCCTCTTAAATGGTTACAGGCCATGGCCGACAAGTCACTTTTACTCAGCCCTAGATCTGCATGTAGATAATCCAAAGTACCACGTTGATAACAGTGGCTGTTTGCATCCATGGGCTTTGTATATTTAAAGAACTCTTTTACTCTATTAAGTTCATCTATCTACCTGTCTAAAAAGGCATCAGCCAAGCCAAATACATCTCCAAACCAGAAAGAGTCATCAGCTTCCCAAGAAGGCTTGGTGACCCCTGATTTTTCTCTTCTTGGACAGCCATGGAAACACACCACTCATAGAAACTCACCCCTCCCTTCTCGACGAGCCGGCTCCTTCCCTCCCAATCTTACTTTCTCCATCCTCCACCCATCCCTATATATATATTTTTTTTACTTCAAAGAAAATTGAAGGAAAAAATATTTACCCCAAAGCATTCCTATGGAGGATCCAAGCAGAAAGCAGGTTAGGAAAAAAAAAGGAGTGGAGAGAAAGGAGATAGTCAGTAAACTTCAGGGAGAGATGAGAACTCGACAAGGACGACGGGAAACCGGAGAAGCCCAGGTGCCTGAGAAACCCCGCTTACAGCCTTGGCACTTACAGTCCACACGCCAGGGGAGGGGAAGGGCCCGCGCCCTCTGCTCCACACCCACCCCTCCAACCTGCAAAGCCCCTAGTCAAGCATGGGAACCCTGCCTCTAACTAGATGGCATTTCCCCATTTATTCCACGGAGCCTGGTGTAATGGACGTTTTCTAAATGTAGGCTTTCATTTCCAGTTCCTTGGTAGTCTTCAGAGGAACTCTTTGTTTGCAGTGAATTTATACGGAACCAGGCAAGAGGAATTAGGCCTGCTCTGGGCCAGAAACCACCTCTTGGGCAAGGCGTCTCCAGTCCTAGCGGAGTATCTACGTGTAGGAAGGACTTCATTTGAAGGGGGGACACGCAACCACCGTGAGAGGGCTACTCTGACGTCTCTCAAAAGCGTGGACAGGCCACGGCGTAAAACCACCTTGACATATGGGGAGGCGCTGTTTGTCAAGGTCTTGATGTCACCCAAAGGGATGCCCTTTGATAAATTATATGACCATCTGTCCTTCATGCAGCTTGAAGAAATACCATCTCAGCTCTACTGGTGAGGCTTACCCAGGACAAAAACAAAGGTGAGAGCAAAAATAGAAAACAACTGAGATAGAAAGCATGAGAACTAACTTTTAAAATATGTATTCTGTGTTAAGCGCTTTTAGTGCAACTCTTTATGTGGCCCTCCTGATAACTTTAGGGCCAAGGTGCCAGTGTCTCGAGCTCACAGATGAGATTCTGAGAGGCAGGGCGAGCTGGGACTTGAACTCAGGTCTGTAGGCTGCTCAGAGCTCTTGCTCCACACCACTAAGCTTTCGCACTAGCAGGTTTTGGTTCTAAGCTCTGCCAAACACGTCACCAAATTCCAGAGGTGGAAGGGATCCCCAACATCCACTTAAGTGCAAAGGAAACTGCGGCCCCAGGAAGATGTGCCGTGCATCACACAGTGAGCAAGCTGCAGGGCCACGGGTGAACGGGCCTGCTGCTCTGAAGTATCTAGAATTCAGGCTTCACTTCTTAGCTGTTGGTTGTAGCTAAAAAGGGTATTTTTTTCCTCCCTTCCTTTCCTTACACGGTTTAATATACCACAAACCTATGTTACACCAACATATGCCACAGCAAAGACTCCTTTCTAATGACCATTTTATTCAGCGAATGATCCGACATTCAAAATCATATTGACTTTCACTGTAAATACCAAATGAATGACGGTTTGAGAATTAAACCCAAGGCTTTATAAACCTTAAGTCCCTCACATGAGAATCTCCAAATATGCAGAAGGCAGAGGGCCTATCTTCCCCCGAGTCACAACAGGGGCCTCTTACGCATGAGACTGAGCACGTGGTCGGCCAGCCCAGTTCAGCTTCGCCCTTCCATGAACAGCATTGCCGGAGTCTTGGTATGTCTCTGGTGCTGTTCTAGGTGCTGGATACACTGCTGTGAATACAACAAATGAGGTCCCTACTTTCTTGGACCTGACCTAATCTAGTAGGGAAGACAGGCCTCAAGTAAACAAGCAAACAAATTAAAGTATAATTGCAAGCTAAATGCCATGGGAAAAAAACGGAATTATCTGATTGAAAAATTTTACCAAAACAACTACACAGGTCACCTTCTTTTCCCCAGGCTACATTCATCTCAAGGAAAGGCTAAGGGAGACCTTTCCATATCCCTGAAATGGAATCAATGGATGGGCAGGTGATCCGGGGTCACACATACCAGGCGTCCAGCTTCTGCTGAGCCTGGGTCCTTAACCCCAAAACTCTGACATCCAGTAGCATCAGTGGGTTCTCAGAGGTTCACATTCACAGATGCCCACCGTAGGAAGGAAGGACACACCTGGTTAAAGGCCAGAATTTGCTCTCTACAATTAATTTTGCCCTGGGAGCCTCATAAAATATAATGCTATGGAACAAAGGGGATCTCTGACCATTGTGTGTGTGTGTGTGTGTGTCCCTTGTTTTGGAAAGTGGAGTTCTTTGATGGTACACTCTGATCTTAACAGCTGACTGTGGCTGCCAACGTATGGGGTACGGGGCTATTTGTCCCATTCAGACCCCCACAGATTTGAGCCCAGGATAGTAATCAGACACAGGCCAAAAGTAAAATTAAAATTAGTCACTGCTCTGCATATCTTTCAAACAGTTCTCTTACTGCAGAGGGGCCACTGAAAAGCCATGATTTTGAGTGGTTACAAAAGAACATGCTTACGCTCTCAATTTTCTCCAACATATGTTCGGTCCAGATTTGAAAACTGCCATTAAAAATGAAAGGAATACTGGATAACCAAGCCACAGAGTCAGGAAAAGCTGCAACACTTTGGACCCCATTAATTAAAATATATCCTAAGTGTTCACACGGGCTAGGTTGGACGACCTCTCCCAAACCCCCGCGTGCAAGAGTCATTAAGCTAATATCCAAGTCAACAAGATTGCAAGGGAGACGTTTTTTCCAACTAAGAGGACAAACTCTTCAAGGACTTCAACTGAGGCACACTGATTTAGAAAAAATTCAGGAGCTTTTTACAAATCATTTAAATATAATCATTTGATAACACTTTGCTAGTCTTTGCTACTAAACATATAACCAGATTTTGTTTTTTACACTCCCTAGCTAATTAGCGAAATTTTATCAGGTTTACAAATTGACTCTAAGGTTAAAATCTGAGGATAATAATTTCACAGGCGCAGCTGTACTGCCCCACTTTAATGGGGGCTCCACTGGGCTCACCCTTTCCCCATTTATTTCCTACTTATTTGTTAAGTTCTTGGCTGCTCTCCAGGAAGAAAAATGCCACGTTCCTCTTATGCCTCATCAGCTAAAAAATGAGAATTTTCCAGCTCAATTGTCGAGTTGCCCTCCAGATCTTTCATGTGTAATCACTCAGCATTCACTGTAATCTTTCTTTTCAGCTTCTAGGCCCCCCTTTCTCAAAGGACATGCTCTCAAATTGATTTCTGCTGGGAACTGATTCTCTTTCCATGGGGGCCAGAGCCAGAACACTGGGTTGTGAAGAGTCCTTCTTCCTTGTAAGTGGAATGACCTTCTGCCCTCCCCCCACTGCCCCCCGCCCCAGGGTGGGAGGGAACGGCACGGGGCTGGGAAGGAAGCTCTTGCATTAGGGAAAAGGACAGGCTTGCTGGACTGTAAAGGGGGGTGGAGGGCTTATGATGTGAGGAGCCCTGAGCATCGCTGAGTGTCTGGACCATGACTTGGTAGTCAAGAAGAACTCCCATTCCTTATGCACTTACTAAGTGTTTGGGCCTATATTGGACACTGAGTATGTTTTAGCTTATTTAATTCTTACAAGACCAAAATATAGCTATGTTTAATTTCTACTTACAGATGAGCAAGTATAGGTTCAGAGAGATAAGACAGCTAATAGTTAACAGTGCTGAGTTTACTTTACTCTGAAACCTATGCTCTTATTTAGAACGTTACAAAGCCTTTTCACATGGGCACCGCTGGAGGGTTTTTATTTATTTTTTGGGGGGGGGAGATAATTAGGTTTACTTATTTGTTTGTTTGTTTTTAGTGGAGGTACTGGGGATTGAACCCAGGACCTTGTGCATGCTAAGCATGTGCTCTACCACTGAGCTGTACCCTCCTCCCTACCACTGGAGGGTTTTAAACAAAGACGGAAACAGCAAAAGAAACCAGCAGCTCCCGAGCGCAGATACTCAACTGCCCATCTATCAGTATCCTCTATCAGTCTAGGGTCTGTGAGGGCTCATGGGAAGAAAAAGATACAGATGCAACAAGACGAACAAGGTCAAGGACGCCTTCTCCTTCTGGCCCCTAGGACTTGTCTGTCTCCAGGTGGAGACAGAGGAACTGCAGGATGAGGATAGGTCCGTACCAAGCCACTACGCTGAGTTTACAGAGGTGAGCCACTTAGAACTAAGCAGAACGTCAGGGGCAGAAGGGAGCTTAATGTAATGGAGAAAGCCTGGAACTTGAAATCAAACTTACCAGTGGTCTAAGAACTGGCTCTTCTACAGAACTAGTCAAATGAGCCAAACTAGTCAAACCTCAGGCAATCCATTTCTCTCCTGCAAAGCAGGACTGCTGAGTGCCAAGTGGAATACAGAACGTGAAAGCACTTTCAAAGTTCTAAAGACCCATGGAGGTGAGGAGGCAGTTTTCCCCTTTGCACCGGCAGTGCTCGTCTCTGGAAACAGAACTCTTCAGGACCCGCTGGCAAGGCTAGTTCATCTGTGTGAAGAATCTAAATCCGGCACTTTGAACTTGTCACTGCTGGCTGCTGCTGTGGGGATGATTCTTCTTCCTGACCCATACCCCCAGCATCTCTTGGGGCCACCCATGAGCCCTAAATCCTTTAGAACTCTGCCATCTTTCCCTGTTCTGGGACCGGAGCACTCGCTCTATTCTAAGTGGTTAGTGTACAGTCCTTTGCTTATTGCATATGGACCTCAGCAAGCTCCTGGTACACACTCATCACTGCCTTTGCAAACTTTCTCCTTTGCAAAACACAGCGCTATACTTTTACTGGAAGGTATTTTTGTCCAAGCACTAAGAAACAGCAAGAGACAGCAAAGCACCTGTCTCCTAGCAGTACTGTTATTCATTCTGGTGAACAGTCACCTGATTCGTCTTGCTTCTTAGTCTTCATATTCTAAATATACCCAAAGACCCCCTCAGCTGCTGATCTTTCTAAGAAGGCCATGGTGCCGGCTGCAGTCCAGCCAATACACTCCCCCAGCTGGAGACTAATTCATAATGCTACGCTGTGCCTCTGCGAGTGTGGATTAAGCAGATGGCTGACAGTCCACATGGTCTGAGCTGATACTTCCCAAGTCCCATCATGAAATCTTCTGACCCAAATTACTCTAAAACC